AGTGACTGATATTTAGACCTTTCTGCTGTAAATACCCCCAAGTCCCTTATGCATCAGAGATAAGGATCTCATCTGCCACAATTGAAATGCAGCCAGCTCGGGGGTGGAGCGGAGCAGCTCTCAAGCAGCAGACAGCACCATTGCACTGCCCTTTGGGACAGTAAGTGGAGAATCCCATATCCAATTAAAACCACAGCAGGGAATTATCCAAGTCTAAATTTGGCCAGGGCACCCTGCTCCTGTGAAACATGTCAGGGAAACGTTAACGGCCCCAATTAGTCTGGGCTCCAGATCCCAATCTCCTATGAAAACTGGGATCTCAAAGCATCACTTCACACCATGCTGCAGTGTTGGTCAGTTCAGACGCAGGAGGGAAGCACGGTACCTGCATCACCAGCACCACTTCCGGCTTTCCTGTAGCTGTCCTGTGGAGGTGCACTGAGGACTCTGGGTGAAGGAGTGTGTCCCCGGCGCGCTGCAGCACTATGCCCCCTGCTGTGCCCCGCACAAGGACTTGCAGAACGCAGACCCGAAGCGATGTGTAGTTGTAACCAGCTCCGCCGGGGCGCGAAGCCTCCGATTAATGGAATTGTTGTTTCTTGCAGGCCTCGCTGCTGCAGAGCAAGCTGAACCAGATCTTTGAGATCACTATCCGGTGAGCGTCAGACTCTTTGGGGAGCGGACAGTCGGGGGGAGAGGGCTGTCAGCAGTCTGCAAGGGGGGAGAGGCTTGTGAACTGCAATGCTGGATGGCCTGTGCCTTGGGGCACAAGCGCGGGGCTGGGTTGAGACATGCATGGGGCAGCCACAATCTTACAACTGGAGACGTGCTTGGCTCTATCAGAACGTGGGAGGAAATAGGCCCCCGGCCCCAAAAAGCTTCAGGCAAGCAGAGTACACAGGACAGCAGCTGCAGTGGGGGAAGGTGCAGAGATGCCACCAGTGAGTGCAGCAAGATCAGCCTCTCCATTGTATCAGGCCTCCCCGTCATTCCCTTTGCCTCTGATCTGCTTCGGATGGTTCTCTCCCATGTTCCCAACTCCCCAAAGTTGTCAGTGTCTCCGCTGGGCTTTAGACCCCGGCACGCCCCCTTGTCCTCTCCAGTTTGGCCCTAATGTGGAGGCACTAGGTTGAATTTGTGCCTTCACATCAGCTGAGTGGTGATCAGTCTTCACCTTCGGGTAACACAGTGACCGGCTCCTGAGTTGGGAGGGGGAAAGCGTTTGCAATCTTCACAGCGAGTCAGAGTTGGGCAGAACCACTGGCCGGGCTGGGTCCTGTTTTTCCGGTTTGATGAAATGTGGGAGTCCACCTGTAACTCTCCCCTCTGTCTCTGACATTCCAGACCACCCCCGAGCCCGTCTGGTACCATCACGGCGGCTTATGGCCAGCCCCAGAACCACTCCATCCCGGTGTACGAGATGAAGTTCCCAGATCTCTGCGTGTACTGAGTCGAAGCGCATGCCGAGAGAAGGCCAAGCCCTGATGCAACTGGAGCCAAGGGGGAAATGCGCCTTCTGCATGAATTAAAACGAGTCTCTTGAAGAACTCAATAACCCCTCTTGGTGGACTCTGGCAGTCTTCCCTCTTCCAGAGCTACGTGGCCCGAGACCACCCTACGATCCTTCCGCCATTTACACAAATCGAATGTACTTTTCTTTGCCACCCTATTTCTTCTCAGCTACTTTCACCTCCAGGGTTTGACAATGCATGAGACTCGAGAACTTTCAGGAAACCGTTTCAGAGTCGTGACTCCAGCAGCGAGAAGTCGGGGAGGGCACAGGGGTAGTAGGGCTTTGCTTTAGCTTCCCTTTTTAGAAGCGGGTGAGACTTTTGCGGAGGGGGTTAGATCTCACCCCGGAGAGAGTGTGTTTGGCGTGTTGATGTCCCACTACATAAAGCGGACCTATGCCAGTGACAGTGTCGCTCACGTTTATCTGCCTTTGGTCAGGTTAAGGGAGTTCTTTCTTAGCAAGGAGCTGCTGTCCAAACTTGAGGTCTTCTGTATTTTAAAGCCAGACTAAGTGTACTTGAAAGTAGGACCCAAACTTGTTGCGAAAGGTGAATCTTAGTTGCCTTAAGACAGTGCAAAGCAGCCAAAGAGGCAGGTTGACCCAAGACGTAAAATTAGTCATCACAGTTGGATGTATATTTAAAAAAAAAAGGTTATTTTTGTGCCGCCGGGTCCTACACATCGGCTGCGTATTTGCCTTTCCAGTAATGCTGATTTAAGAAGACACAGGGGCTAATTGACAGATAGGTACAATCAAGGCAAAC